TGGCCTTTAATGGTACACATGGAAGATGAGCCAATCACAGGGACACCTGCTACATTTCACAGCAGCTGATAACAATTGTTTACATTCTTCTTCTGGGGCTCTCTGGGGCTCTGCTTCCCAGAAGATGGACAAATGTGAAAGAAAGGATTTCTATGAAAAAATGTCTGCGACAGAATACAATGCTAATACAGTGCCACAAAAGAAGTCATGCAAACAAATTAAATGAAGCATTTATACAAGGTTAACGTTAAAATGAAGGACAATGCACTTTGACAGAACACCAAAACTTTCAGTATCTTACTGCAACCCAACTCATGCTTCAATGGCATCAAAGAGAAAGAGATTATTTCACATTTGCCTTTTAGCAGATGTATATCACATAATGCTTCTGTAAATCTGTATTGTAGACATCAGAATATCTCCAATTTGACACTGGAACAGTTTCAGGCTTTTATTAGCCTGAATTGCAGTGAACTCACTTAGTATTCACATTCCTTTTTATCTAAAACTTACCTGCACTATAAAAACACTACATCATTGTATAAAAATAAACCTCTCAAAATGTTTATGCAGACAGATCTTTCATAATCTTTTAAATAATTTTTCAGTTTTACCTCAGAATGAAGAGGACACTGTCCTTCCAAAGCACATGGCATTATCTACACACATAACCAGTACTTACTCCCAGCTGTCATAACTTCATGTTCTCTTTCCTCCTCTTCGTCTTCTTGCTCTGGGTGTCCTTCCTCCCTGTCACGTTCTGCCTGCTCCTCCATTTCTGCTTCTTCATCAATTGTACGAGTAAAAGAATGTTCTTGAGTATCAACATCAGCAGATTCCTGGTTATCTAGCATCTTGATTAAAAAAATTACACACATGAAGTGAAATTCTCACCAAAATGAAAGATGAATGTACAAAGACATACATGGGCATTGAATAAGAGGTTTCTTCCTACCAAGAAGTACTGGTGATACTATGTGAACTATACAATGAAGACAGTTGTTTACATTCAAGGTTTTAAATAGTTATGTTGGAAAATTTAATTTTCCTTTTGTAACCATGAGCAGAAAAATGTCTCCTTGTAATGCTTACTTACACTCTACAGTCACTTTTGACACTTCAGCACCAAGGCCTTCAGAAACTGTAAGCCTGGGTATACTGTGTAAAAGCAAACCAGGTCCTTTTTCCCAATGGCATTAAATCTGAGCAACAAATCTGCTCCATTTATCAGATTTGCTGTATTGCATCTGTAAGTCTGACGATTTCTGGGAATAACAGGACTTATTGCATGCACACCCAATGCTTTCAGAAGTGCTCAGCCTCTTGCAACTATGTCAAACCCCTACCCTGAGAAAGGAAGTGAGCAAGATACACACATCCCCATAATATTAACCAAAAGTAGCAAACACACCTACACTATTTTTAAGAGCACCATTAGTGCTTTACAATATAGCTAAAAAGCCTCTTAATCCTGATGCTGCAAGAGAATTTCGTTCATTAAAAATATCTTGCTTGTAGATTGTAAACCACAATTAAAAATGCTATCAGAGAAACCTGCTTTAAGGACTACTTTGTATGGCCAAACAGGCCCCAGTCCGGAATTCACTGAACACTTTCATCATTAATGCTGATCTGGCTTAATAAAGTTTCTCAGAAGTCTCCAGTTTCAGGCCCAGTGCTCTCACATCAGACATTCACACTGGGGTGACAAGGACAAGTTGCCCTAAAGTAACGCCAGGACTAAGAAGATAATGTGGCCATGGAGGGAGGAAGAAGGGGTAGGCAAGGAAAGGGAAGAGAGAGGTTCAGAGGCCCAGATAATGCAGCTGGATTCAGGAATGGCAGCCAGACAAAGCTGTGGCCTGCCCAACACAGCTGAGCCATCTCCAGCTAAACTGCAGGGCTTCTGTGGCCCAGCATTCTAGAGATGGCAAGAGGGAAAACCAGGCTCGAGGCTGGGCTTGGGTCAAATGATGCCAATCAATCATTTCCTTTAACTGAATTAGTATCACATACTCCAGACCAATGGATTCCTAATTATACCCTGCCCACTTTCATTTGGAAACCCGAGAAAGTTTTACAACAGGATAGAAAAAAATACTGGCAATTATGTAACATTTTCTAAATAGCCAGTAAAGCCAGAAGAACTGCAAAGAGATGCCCAGCCTTACCCATCTGTCTCTGGAGGATGACCTGGTCTGAATCAGCTCCATGTTCTTGCAGGCAAGCAAGCGACTCCGAACTTTATACACACAGCGGTAAACTTCTGCCAAAGCCTTTCCAGGCTGGTACCTACAGAAAACCACATCAGGCCAGAAAAAAATCACACAAACTTCCTTTCAAAAAGTCAAGCTGAACTTTTTTTAATAGCAGCTTTGAGTTACTTGCCTGCTCTCACCACAAGCTTGACTAAGTAAACTCGTGTGTTTCAGAAGAGCTGCAAGGACAAATCTGGACACAGTGTCTAGGAGGGATTCATTACTTAAAGTTGCAGTATCCCAATCTGAAAAAAGAAATGATTTATCAAAATTGGCTACCATTCCCAAAAAACAGAAATACTTGTTTTTTTCACTATTGTATTCAATACCTTCAGCCATTTAATTTTTAAGAAACTGACTTTTTAATTTCAAAAAACTTTTCCCACTTTTAAAAGAGCCAGTATGCAAATAATATTGCTCCACTATGACATAACTGAACTGCCAGGCAAACCTTCACAAAGCACCACAATTCTCCATGGCTAAATAAAAAATTACTGTCCCCCATCTTTACAAATAAGTTCATAGTATATTTTTGTGTTAAATATTATCTATAAATCCTTGTGAATGGCTGTAGAAATGACAAAACATAACTGGCCATAGGAAAGTCTAGTCCAAAACACCTGCTCCTCAGCAGTTCCATGACACTGCCTGTGACACTCTGCTAATGTCAGCACACAACCTTCAGGCAGCTGAACAGAGCAGACCCATACCCACTTCTAAGGAACCCAGTTCCACAGCCTGATGATACAGATCAGCCCATTTGACTCAGATTTTGCAAACAGACAATCAGCACTGTTTTTACTGGAATTCCCACCTCTGTGGAATCCTGTTAACAGAATTCCCTGTGCTGTTCTCCACAGGCACACAATACCATTTTCTCTTTTCATCTGGTTCAGCTTAGCCAGAGCTACAGAAAATTATCTCTGGATACAGCAGTTGCAGTACAACTGCAATACTCAGTGGATCTCAATAAAAGGAACCTGGAAAGACTGAGCAGGAAACCCATATTATAGGCAATAAGCATGAAAAACTAGTACTACTGTAGGACCAGCCTCCCAGAGACCTGAAAAGCAAAAGCTGACTTGCTCCTTCATTCCATTCCTTAAATATTTTGCAAGTTATTTTGCCTTCCCCCATCTCATCCCCTTTCATTTTTCTTTTTAATTGCAAGTTTTACCCTGTTCTACTCAGAAAATAGAAAAAACAACTGAGTAAGCAAACAAGAGTTTCTTCTTACCAGTTCAGAGGGAAAACAACATTGAGCTACATGTTTGCCAAGCACTGAAATCAGTGTCAAAAGCAAGTAACAGGAAAAGCAAAAGGAAGATCACAGAACATAATAGTAAATTAAGTTTACATGTTGTAGAATTAAAAATTGCTGCCAAAGAAAATGCAGGATTATGCTGGAGTGTAGTTGGAGCACTTAACTTGCTTTAAGCAAACACAGGTACCTTCAAGCCCTTACCTTTACTGACAGCATAGTCCTGCATGCTGATCCACAGGCTCCTGGCCGGCTCTTTGGTACAGCCCAAGGCCAAATCAACATAGACTGCGATCTCCGGCCTCAGCTTGTAATCAAAGGGCTTCTGCTCCTCATTGCCAGACAGAGCCACTTCTAACAAGGAGCTCATGCATTTATCTAACAGAAGGGAAATACCAAAGAAATTAAACTCTGAAAATGTTGGGAATTAGACACATCTATCTAAAAGCATTTAAACCACCTTTGACCTTCTTCTTAGTTTAAAAAAAAAAAAATCAAGACATGTCATTGTCCTTCCACAAATTCACCTTACATAGGGAAGTGACTTAAAAGACAATCTATATAAAACCTATGAAGATTTAAAAGCATTATCCAACTCTTCTTCAAGAATTCTTCAAACATCTGCATCATTATTTCTACCTGAACTACACAGCTAGGCACTTGCAATTACTGCCTGGACCCATTTTCAAACACTGCTTTTTTAAGTCTTGAAGTAACCTGCTCAGAACCAGAGGGAGGAGGAAATGTGAACTAAGAGGAACAGGGTGCAAAGAAGCAAGTGCCCCATTCAGATAGGAAGGGATGACTGGAACACCACTGCTGAGTTGTTGATAATTCTGGTGGATCATAAAGAATGAAGTTTGCTACGAATAGTATTGTTTCTAAATAATAAAGAAATCATTTTGCAAGTAGAATAAAATAGAAGAGATTTTTCCAATAATTAATATGAAAAATTGAGTTCCTGGAGTGTCTGTTAAATGCTGAGCATCTAAGAGTAAAACATTTCCAATTAACTGTGTGAAGTCTGTAGTCTTCCACTGAGAAATTGCAATTTTTTTCTCCCAAATGCATTTCCAAGACTCTCAATAAATTATATCATTACATCAATTAAATACCATTTTGGAGCTTTTTGTATTACTACACAAATAGACAAGAATGCTGAAAGTACAGGGACTCAAACACCATCAGAAATTTCACACCTGAACACATTTCCACTGAGCATTAGGCAGTGGCACTGGCAGCTCACCTAGGTGAGGAATATCCATCTCTGCTCCGTCGCTGAACAGCGGCGTTTTGAGCCAGTAGGCCGTGTCCTGCTCCTCAGGGGACACCGGGGGGCCCTGCAGCATCCCCCCCAGGCAGCGCCCGATCAGCAGCGCCACCGTCCTCTCCAGGTCCACCAGCCACACCCAGGACTGGGCGGGCTGCGGCAGGGGCACGCCCGCAGGCTCGATCAGCTCAGGGCCACCTGCAAGCAGGCAGTGCCAGGTCAGTCACCCATGGCCAGGTGTCACAGACAATTCCAAAATCCCAATGCTAATGGCACATCTCGTTAATGTTTCCCAGTTAATCACAGATTTGCCCCTCCATCAGCAACCTTTCAACAGAAGAAACAGCGGCTAGGACAGACAGACTGCTGAACACTGGAACCACAGCACAGCAAGAGGCCACCACCATTCGTGGCACAGCTGTTCATGAAGTAAAGGCTCTTTTAAACTCTGCCCAAGAACTTGCTTTGTCTAATACACACTTCTCTGTGTTCTGATAAACAAGTACAGATTAAGGATACAACTGGAAACAGCACTCAGAGCAGAAATAAGTGCTTCACAGCAAGGGACATTAATACATTAAGGAAACTGAAAAGAAGATGCAGCAGTTTTAAAAAAACAGACATCTTAAAAGGCAGAGCTAAATTCCACTGGAACAGATGCCATTGTTTATTTCTCAGATTAAAAGCATGTTTCTTATTACACTCACCATGAAGAGGCCACTGTAATTCCTGATCCTCCAGAAGGGCTGCAGCAGGCAAGAGCCTGTTGAGACGATCCAAAGGGGGCAGCAGATCCAGCAGGTAACTCAGCAAAGGCCGGGCTACTGACACTGGCAGCAGCAACAGAGAGTTGACAATCTGGGAGAGCATACTGCCAGCAGCTGATACATAAATCACATCTGCAGAGAAAAAACCAAGCCTGAATTAATTATGGTTATGGAATTATGTAAGCACAATTTTAAAAGTCAAAGAATTGCACCTCAGCTATCTCAGAATGTCTTAAACAATAAAGGTTGACTTGATGGGTTTGTTTAATCTCTTATTTTAGTTCCACACTTCTCAGCAGTCACAATAATTGTACAAGTACAATTATTGTACTTGTATGTCACAATAATGTACAAGTACATTCTGGAGGGAAGGTGAACAGAATGGAGAACTCGCATTCTCCAACCTGTGCTTTTCCTGCACACAAAATGTCCTATCAAAAACATGAACCAGCCATTCCTGGGTAGATACCTCACCTCCTCCTTTGGGGGAGCCTTGGGATGCCTAATTTATGCAGATATAGGAAAAGTAAGGGATCTTTTAATTCAAATCTAAGCAAAAAAGCAGCCTAAGTTTATAGAGTCACCATTAGTGATTTTTCCATGGACAGTTACCTCTCAGTTTTTCCCCAACACTGCCATTCCAAGAGCTTTCCTTGAGCAGTGTTGCAGAACGGGAATAGATATCTGTAGCGTGAGGCAACAAAAGCTGAAGGTGCTTGTGAAGCAACGCCACACTGCTGGAATTCTAGAAGGAAACAAACATAAGAACAATTCTGTAAATACATAGAAGGGGTACACTACTTAAAACACTTCAGCTTTCAAATACTCAGAAGATTTTCAAAAGGAACCTTACAACATTCTGATACTTATGAATACCGAATTGGTTTTTTTCTCTCCTAAATGGTAAAAATAAGGATACTCACCTCAGTAACACTGTTGATGTGGCAATAAGCCAGCAATTGTTTCTGTAGGGAACATAAAAGCTCATGCAAGTGAGCAGGTTGGCTGTTTTCTGAGGATGATGTACCTAGCAGAAATTTATCACTGTTTTTTTCCAGTTCTCCAAAGGCTTGGTCCTATTAAGACAAAAGCGGGGAAAAAGATAACAATTAACTCTGCTTCAAGTACTATAATGCTTTATTATCATCTAAAAAGAAGCATTTTCATCTTTACTATGTGCACCTGTGGTTACTTAAGAAATTGGATAGTGTCAAGTGGATTGTGGGATATGCAAACTTGAAATTCCAATTGTTTATAATGCCACAGGAATGACTGTGGTAGCTGTCAGGCAAACATTTCTTACAATATTACTTTCACATGCAGCAACACTTTTATTCCTCACCAAGGATAACTAGATTCAAAAACTCAGTTCCTAACCTAGCCCCCAAAGCACAATGTGTTAAAAGAATTTAGGCACATGTGTTAAAATTGTGGAATAACTCCTTAGGATCTGTTGTGGGCTGATGCAGAATATATCTCACATTATAATCCCTGACTGCACTATCCAGGATGGCAGGAGAACACAGATGGCTGCTTGACTTCCATGGGAACCCATTGGAAAAACTGAGTTCGTTTCAAGCAGCCAATTCAAAGCAGACAGGTCCACCCTGCTGACTGAAGGAGGTCTAGAGAGAAGAACAAATCACTGCCAAGCCTGTGCTGGAGCTCCACACTATGCCAAGAAATCCAAAGCTCTGATTTCTTCTCACTGTTGAATTCAACTGGCTGGCTGATGAAGAAGCTGAGTCAGTGATTTGCTCCCATGCTCCCCTACACTTTCTAAGAACAACAATCTGGCTGACACACTGTGTGTAGTAAGACCTGTACTTGCTGCTCTATTACAAGGTAGTTACCACCATAGTGAAGTTAATTAAATAGATTAATGCTCCTGGTGTCTGCTTATTGTTCCCTGGTGGCTGAGATTACACTGGCAAACCCTGTATATAAACTATTTACATCTTATGTTATGTTTTCTCTTCCAGAAAAATCTGAAACCAAAGCAAGAGCAATAAAATAGTCTGACATGAAACCAGCTGCACTTACATAAATCACCTTAAACAATAAATACCACTAGAGCAATATTAGAACCATATTGTTAGAGATGATTTAACTGGCTTTGGTCCACTTGAAGACACATACATGTGGCAGTGCTACTTCAGATAAACAAAATTAGCACCATTTCCTTAAGATGAGGGGGGAAATATTAATCCTTCAAAATATCAAAAATTAACTATAATTTAACAAGAAAAAATAATATGAAGCCTGTACATACTGTATAAAATCCCAAGTTTCTAAGAAGAGTCTTCATTAAGATTTCAGCTAGATGAGTGTCTGGATGACTGCTCTGGACAGCATATGTTTGATCAGAGAGGTTCCCATAGCTGATACACATCGAGGCAGTTTCTGTGCTATCAGATGGGGAGCTGTAGCCAAGCAGGGAGGCTACGTGGGTGTGATCCTGCAGGCTGGTCAGAATGATGTCCAACTGCATTCTCTAAACAAGAATGTTTAGACACAAAAATCACTCTTCATTAGTAAAGGTAAAATAACGAGCTAAGAAGAAAAAAGGCATCAGTCATAGTTACCCAATAAAAATCTTCTAATGGGACACAGAAATAAGCTGGAAGGCTTTACCAAAATTCCAGGTTTTCATGAAGATTTGTACTAATAGAGAATGGATAAATATATTGAATTGCATTGACCATAACTAATAAAAATCTGAGATTTAAGAGAGACAGAAACCAGACTGTCCACATGGTGGGCAATGAGTGTAAGACTGAACCAAGCACTTTCTCCAGTATTTTCCTGTCTGATCATCTGGGAAGACAGGTGTGAGACACAATTTCTCTACACTGTACATAGGAAAAAGGGTACAAAAATGAACTTTGTAGTCATCTTTGAAAAGGAGTGTGAAATCCATGTAGGAAAAGCGTTATACAAGAATTCATCCCAGGAAACAATTAATTTTCTCTCACCAAGGCTTGTTCAATCAATCTAGTATTCAAAATTATCTTATCTCTAAACCAAAGCAAACCCCAGCTGCTCTCAGGTATGTTTTTACTTGACCTTACCTGTCCTTTTGATAAGCTTTCCCATCTATCAGGACCTTGGGGTAGAAGAGAATGTAGCAATTCCATTCTCTCTCGCAATGGAGGAAGCAGCATAGTTGCTCCAACTGACAGTGTCTCAATTACAACCTAAAATCAGAGCAGCCAAAAATACTTCTTAGCATAGGAAATAATCAACCCACCTGTCTCCTTAAAAATTACCATACACCACACATGATATATCCCAAATGTCTGCTGAATTTCATTTAATAGCAGAATTCTACCACACTAATCTTTGATGCTGTGACACAAACAATGTGCAGTACACTGAAGGAGTGAAACAAGACCAACAAAAGTTGCTATTTCCTGTAAGAGTGCATCTTTGGAGAATTACTCAACCAAGTCAGTTACTCAATCCACAACAAAAACATTTTAGGCTCATTATTACAGGGAAGAATAATTTAGAAGTTACAAAATAGAGCAGCTTTTTGAAGTTCTTATGCAAACATTCTCCTCTGCCTTCAGATCATAAAACAGTGATGGTGACTACATTTTTTACCTTTAATGAGTAAAGCTGGCAAGTCAGAATCATTCAGAAAGTCTAATAAATATCTAAAAACACAAGAGAGTAGCACAATTTTCACATGTAAACAACAAGGCATGACTCACTTCTTGAATTTCATCAGGGACAGAAGAGTCCATCAGCCTGAACAAGAGGTTTCGAAGAGGACCAGCCTGGCGGCCAAGAATGCTGGTGGCTACACCTCCAGCCAGTGCAAGTGCAAGGTGATTGGAAAGCAGCTTCAAACACAACTTAAGAAAATTGTGATGTTCCCTGTAAAAGAAATATGTATCTATTAACCTCTCCTACTATTAGCATGACTCCCATTTATTTGCACACTAAGCTTTTAACTCTCCTTTGATTCTTCATACCAGCAAGTAAATTCCAACTGGGAGTTAAGGAAACTCCTCTGAGAAACTTACTGCCAACCTCCTTAAAAGAACAAAAACTGAAACTAGCACAGAGAAGTGGTTTTGTGGACAATGGTTGTAAGAGGCATTCACTTTAGATTAACAGTCCTGTGAATTATGAGGCAAAACAGTCCCAAAATGCAGAAATAAACAATATGATACACAGAGGGAAAAAAAAAACTTTTAAGAAGCAATAAATGTAATCTTCTCTCAGAAGATATAGAAGTACACTAATCAGGTTAAAAACAAGAAGTCAGGTTATTCTTTTCTAGTCCTCTTAAAAATATTTGAAACACTGGTTACAGGAGTAAGAACTGACAACACAGAAACAGTAAATGCATTTCAATTGCACAGAAAAATGAGTTTTAAAGGAAAGATCTGAAATAAAGCATTTAATTCATTGCACAATGAAAACAGATTTCAGACTACAGATCCTGCTACATTTGAGCCACTGTAAAGCTCCTCTGTTATACAAGTGCACTACAGTAATTCTACACAAACGGCACCTGAGTGAGCAGGTAAATCAGATTTATGCTTGTTAAAGAATAGAGTAACCAAGACTAAGCCATGCACCACTGCTGCAACGAAAAAACAAATATAAAAGTCTGTACCACACATATGCTGTATGTACCTTGATGAAGGAAAAGGAAGAGGAGGAATTTCACTGTTAATTTTGTCACAGTAGTGCTCAAGAAAAGAACGAAGATGTGAAAAGGTGCTTTCTTCAAGGTCAACACAATAGGGTCTGTGCCATGCCACAACTTGCCTGGAATCAAACATCAAGGAAAATTACCTTCTGGAAATCTTTAACTGCCTTAATAAATTAATAGTTTAAACAAGTTGAATACACACTTAACTAAACCAGTTTCTTTCTTAGAGCAAACTAATACAACTATGGCAGACCAACTTCCTGACCCATGAAGGTATTTTCTTCTCTCTTTTTTGTAAAAATCTTTACAATCAAACACTCCACATTTATGGACAAAAACACCTCAATGCCATAAATCTAAAGCCATATGCATTTAATCTGATTCAGTCAAAGGCTGATCAGTACTCACAAAGCTGGTTTTATGATAAATGTCAGGTTAGAGACTTGGCTAAAATGCACAGAGCATTATTTCCTTATTTGACAGCTCCCTTGAGAACGGGGCATTTGAAATTCTTCTTGAATTATCTTCCAAATATTAAGTTTTTCTGCTCCTCTGGGTTAGTTCATACATAAATGTTTACTGTTTCACTTCAATCATTTGCTAACATCCTTGGTGCAAAAATATTATTTGAGTTATTGTCTATTAATTACCAAACTATTTATTTTCAGTTTTACATGCAACCATACAGAAATTTTTTTAAGACCTTTAAATGCACCTCAGTAATTTGCCTGAACTTCCCCTTTCCGAAAGTCTCCTGATTACTGTACTACTTATTACACTAAAAGAAACTTCTCAAGTCATAAAAAAACCCCATAGAAGCAAAAAATAAAGAATGCTGAGTTGTTTCACCTCCCACTGACTCCCTTGTCAATATTTAGTAAACAGTGGTAGGTTTTGTCTAACAACATGTAAAAAACATTCATACATAAAGAAGAAATATCTAAAGATGAGAGAAGACTTTCCAGAACAAAACATTACAACCAGAATGCTTGACAGAGATGATGCAGGAACACTTTCAGGAAATAGTTAAATATATCCCAAAGAAGACTTGCATAAAAGAATAAAATTATACCTGTCCCAAATGTCATCATTACCTGTCCCTTGGAAGAGCTGTCCAGGCAAGGCTATGGGATGTTCCCGCCGAGATCTGTTGAATTGCAACTCCATCTAAACCACTGACTTTCTTTGGTTTAGTAATGGGGCCAGTAGAGTTTCCCTGTCCACATTGTCCCATTGAATTGTTACCCCAAGCATAAACTTCATTATCTATGAACACAAATAAAGTACAAAAAAGCTGAAATACAACTGCTTTTATCTAGAGGAGGATCATGTCATTTTAGAGCTTATTCTCCTTACCATGAGAAAGTGCCAAGCAGTGACTGTCACCAATGGAAATGTCAACTATCCTGGTAGCTGCCAGCTCCTCAATGAGCTTGGGTCTGAGAGCAGTCGCCTCTGAGGAGCCACAGCCAAGGCAGGCCCCGCAGCCCCACGCGTAAACCTGGAGCAAAGCAAGCACAGAACGCTGCAGGTCAGAGCTGTGCTGCTGCCCAGCACAGCAAACACCCCAGCACCCCTCGGCACAAGGACCACAGTTACACCTTCAGCACAGTGTGCACAGGACTTTCCACACCTGTGTGCTGCTGCCCAGCACAGCAAATACCCCAGCACCCCTCAGCACAGGGACTGCAGTTACACCTCCAGCACAGTGTGCACAGGGCTTTCCACACCTGTGCTACTGCCCTGCACAGCAAACACCACCCCAGCATCCCTCCTGCACAAGGACTGCAGTTACACCTCCAGCACAGTGTGCACAGGGCTTTCCACACCTGTGCTACTGCCCTGCACAGCAAACACCACCCCAGCATCCCTCCTGCACAAGGACTGCAGTTACACCTCCAGCACAGTGTGCACAGGGCTTTCCACACCTGTGCTACTGCCCTGCACAGCAAACACCACCCCAGCATCCCTCCTGCACAAGGACTGCAGTTACACCTCCAGCACAGTGTGCACAGGGCTTTCCTGACTCAACACGTGTCATACAGTGTGCACTCCTTTCCCCAGGCACTGAGGTGCCACAGAGCACAGCACCAGGGAGGCTCTGCAGGAAAACAAACAGGGAATGTCAACATTCCTAACCCCCACTTAGAGAAGCCAGAGCCTCTGAGTCACAGAGCTGAAGGTGGGGAGGCCAGCTGGGTTGCACGTGTGGAAATGCTTATTGGATTACATACACCCATCATGCCAGGAAGGGCCCTTGTTTGACACCTCAACATTCAGCTCCAAGCTCTCCTGAGATTTTTCAGATTAGAAATAAAACTTGCAGTTAATAACTATATTCTAATATACACATGCATTTTAAAAAACTATTAAATTGTTTAATCACCCGAGCTGATTACTGTATTAAAAATTACAAGCATTTCATTTCTGTTTGTTTCTTGAATCCAATTTGTTTTTATACTGGTTACATTTATTAACCTAAAAACATAGGTTAATGCATGTTTTCTATGACTAAACAAAAATCTTGAAAAGTGTGTCTTAGATGACTCTTAGCACATTCTGAAATACTCTTGTGCATTAGAGGTATTCAACCTCTAATCAAGAACTTCACTTCTATTTAAGTACTCTTTGAACATTTTCTCAACAGTTAAAATAATAAATGCAGAGATAACAGGAACCCAGACCCTCTTCACCAACTCCTGTAATTTGAGTGAAACCTGTTTTGCCTACCTGCCCTGTTGATGTCAAGGCAAGGGAAGACTGACTGCCAGCACAAACTTTTCGAATAAACATTCCCTGCAAGGCTTCTATAACTTTAGGTTTATATACTCTATTTGTATCACCATGACCAAGTTTGCCTGTAAAGGGAAGAAACACAACTTTCTTATTTTCAATGGTATTTCAAAGGTATTTTCAATGCATAGACAACAATTAAAAAGTACCCCAAAAGAGATTTTTTTAGAGTTCCAAAAATATCAGAGTAGATTTTTAAAATTAAAACATATTACAATTTTTATAAAACCCATTTTCTTTCAATTACAGTAATTACAGACTTGTAATTACATATATATACATATACATATATAGATACAAATATATATTTATTATAGTCTATTTTAAAATTGAAGCACAAATCCCAGGCAGTTTATATGCAATAGTTTGTAGGACATAATTAGCTACTGACATATCATGAGCGAGCTTATTTGAAAGTCATCAGCACAGCATTTTTTCCAGAACTGTTCATCTATTCACTGACACTTCTGCACTGTGAAACTCCTCCCCTGCTGAAAGTATTTTTTTTAATTCTATCATCTTGCAGGTGAACTTCAGATATTGTATTTAGATTTTTTAAGAATCCCTTCCTTGAACAGCAACCAAATGATGAATAAAAACCAGAACCCAACTGCAAGGAGTACTGAAACTATGAGGCAGATGGAATAAGATAAAAATTACTACCAAAACCATTTGTTTTACCCACCATTGTCTCCTCCTCCAAAGGACCACACTGTTCTCCCATCTTTGGACAGAGCTATGGTGTGTGAGCTGCCACAGGAGACCTCTCCTACATTGCTGATATCTTTTACTAAAGTTGGAATGTTGCGGCTGTTGCTGTCACCGTGACCTAAGGAAAAAAGAAAGAAGTATTTTCTTTTAGTGACAATTAAAGTCCTATAATTGTTTTGCAATCATATGATTTTTCAAATTCCATGTGTATTGCAGACATCACAAATGATGATTTTTGCCCATTTTTTAGAAAGATTTGTCATAAGGTTGGAAAGACATCTGTCATAAAGTTAAGCATTAAATCTTAGGACATACTCCAGAACACCTGTTCAGATCCCACTGCCTCTAAAACTTATGATCATTTCCCACCTAGCTGAAAAGAAATAGAACTAATTGCCTGTACAACTGCCTTCACTAGCAGCTGAGTAGGCAGCTGGCCTTGCCCACACTGGGCAGCAGTGGCAGCAGGTATCCTGCACAGCACCAGGGAGCTGCAGGGAGGGCCCTCTGTCACTGTGTCCATTGCACAGCCTGACCAGATCTGCCCCAGCTGCCTTTAGACAGCCACATTTCTAACGGGTCCTTTCTGCAGAAACCATGCACATTACAGCTAACACCTACTTCAGAACAAGTTTTATTTCTACTAAACTCCAGAAAGTCTGTGGATACCGAAGAAAAATGGAGAACAGAGGAAAATTATTATCACTGGTATCCATAACTGATTAAATATTAAAAATGTCCTGTAACCCAATGAAATGTTACATTGAGCTACATTCTAGAACTCAACACTGTACACTCCAAGACCCCCAAAGGATGTCAAAATTCCAATATAATCTAAAACTCAAGGAGGTTTCCACAATTCCCACCAAAATTCTTGTTAAACCTCTAACACAGAGCTCTTTTCTTTTCAACAGGGATACTCTCAGACCTTCTACTGATTCCCTTGAAAGCTGTGACTGTCAAACACTCTCCTCATCTTCCACCCCTGCCACTTGCTTGATTTTATTCCTCTATACTTGATGATTGTGACATTTAAAGAAAACAGAAGGGAACTAAAACCCAAATTGAAAAAATTTTCTGCACAAAACCTGTTGGTTCAACTGAACCTGCTCCAGAAGAGCAGTTTTACACCAGGCATAGCAGCTCTACAGCAAAGATGATGAAATAGATAAGTTAACTTGAAGGAAATAGTAATACAGGGTTTCTTGTTTCAGTTAAATTTAACTTTTTAGATGTATTAAGGTAAAAGAACACTAAGCCATTCTGGCAAACTTAACATGAAGTATCCTTATTAGAATCAGACCCTTGATATTATTAGCCATATTATTATGATTCCTCAAAGAATCATTCCACTATCACACTAATGAGGTTTATCTAGAATTTCAGTTTATTTTAAATGTCAACTGTTTTTACATTCCAGTGACATTAGCAATGATATAGTCTTAGGAATGAATAAAAAGCAACTTGCCTTGAAATGAAAAGTCTTTTAGAAATAATTTTTGTAAAATTAACTGAATTAAAAACTTTTAAGATCCGCTGCACTGTCAGCTGTATGCACACACCTGAGTACATGTGTATGTGTATGCAGAGTGGACAATTAAAGAACAAGGCAAACAGATGTATAAAATCATTACTAGACACAGGGATTTTCCCAAAAGCATCTCATGAAATTTTCAAATTACCCAATCTTCCAAAGTCTCCTTCTCCCCACGTGTACAGCTCTCCATCCTCTGTAACAGCAGCACTGTGTCTGTAGCCTGCTGATACACACACCACCACCTGCATCACACACATAAACAAAGACAACATTTTTACACAAATCTAGTGGGAAGTTGGAAAAATTAGGAGAGTCAAGTTTCAGAAGGAGTCTACATAAACTAACTGGTCCATTCACAAGGATTAAGTACACACGTAATCTTTGCAATCTTTTCTGTTTATTTGATAAGGGGAAATAAGTACATTAGAAGTTCATATGGAAAACCACTAATGATTTATTTATCAAGCAGGTTTAGCATGATGATATCCAGTCTTAGAGGAGAAAAAAGCAGCACCAGGGGATGTTTAAGACAATCTATAAGTGAAAGCCTTGATGTTGCAGCTAGCAAAACTCAAACTGTAATTCAGTGGAAGCTCCTGAACAAGTTTGAGTCAAGGCTGTGAGAAGCTTTCCTGACAATGCCACTGCCCAAATCACAGCAACCATAAGCTCTCGTGTTTTGTTGCAAGCAGACCCAGCCTCAAAGAGAAGTCTAAAAAGAACACAGAACTTTTTCTTAGAATTTCATCAATTTCAAACTTTACACAACATCCCAGCTGAACAGAACAAAACCACATGCTCCACTATACAAAACATACCTTCCCTTGCAGGGGACCCTGAATAAGTTTGGGATATTTCTGAGTTGAACTATTTCCATGTCCCAGTTTTCCGTAGTCACCATCACCCCAGCTGAAGACTTCCCCTTCTGTTGTAAATGCTAAAGTGTGACCATCAGATCCTTTTGAAGATGACACCTTTTTAATAGACCTGTGAGGCTCAAAAGTCAATTTTTTCAAGGTGGACTGATTGTTGGAGTCTCCCAGTCCCAGTCTCCCATAGCTGCCTTTTCCACAGGCTCTAACAGAACCATCCGTAGAAATGACAAATGTACAATATTGTCCAGCTTCAATCTACAAAGAGAAAAAAGATGTAACAGAGAAATACAGAGATTGGACAAATCCAGAATTTACATACAGCTCTAGAAGTCTGTATTTTGTAACTGAATTTCAGCTTTCTTCATATAAAATGATGTAAAAACTAAATATAACACAATGTTAAAATAACTTGCATTTCAGCAAGCAGTAAAACTAAAACTCTTGGGAAATATGTTACAATTAAAACTATTTTCATAATTGACTAAAGTGTATGAACAGTGATTATTTTATTTACTTGTATCTCTTCTACAGACTGTAGAACTTGTGCTGCATTCAGATCTCCAAAACTCACAGATGGAAATCTTAATGTTTCAAAAGCAAGAAAGACAAAGTAACAGCTTGATAAAATACTGTAGGTTTAGTCTAATTTTAACCAGTACCAAGCAGTAACATTCCAAAAATAAACCAAACGCTAAAAATCCACTCACTTGAGACTATAATCACGTGAACATCAAAGAAATAAGATCAAAAGCTTTTAAGCAAATAAGAACTTGTCCCTTTTGGGAAGTCAGTGCTCAGCTGAGGAATGACCCAACACCAAATGGACTAACACAGAAACCATTCCCTACAGGAATCTTAACACAGCAGAAGTGCAGAGGCTCCATCTGACACCATAAACCAGCCCCAACAGGTGAACACAGCCCTGTTTAATGGGAATGAATGTCTTCATACAGATAATCCTACCACAATCAGCAAGTGGAAGGCTAAGTGGAAAAACCACATAAATTTGTTGTACAGTTGTATATAGTACTATTAAAAGAGTAATACATTCATTCAGATCACACATTCCATTCTTGTGTATTACTCTTTCAAATGTTTTCAAAGTTTTCTGAATGCATAAACTTGCTTTATGATGTCCAGTCCTGCAACCCACTGAAATATAAAATACATCAGTGATATCCATAGAAACAATTCCAGAAAATGCACCTAAATGGTCTAGTGACCAGAAAGTGCTTTTACTTAAGTCAACACTGCAAAGCCAATATAGTACCAGAAAAGCAAACTATTATATTCTGGGTCATGCATCAATAGAAGTGCCCAGCTGCAATTGCAGAATCTGTGACAGAGCAGAAAGAGCATGTAGACTGATTTTCAGAAAGCTAATTAAGGTTGCTGTGTCAGCAGCTAGTCCAGTTTGGAGCTTTGAACTCAGCAATCGCTGGTGTGAAAACTACCAATGGAAAAGAGCATGCAGTCATTAAAGCACCTTTTAACCAATAATTAAAAGAAACCAAACAAAAACCAAAATAAACCAAACAAAAAAAATCCACCATAAAACAAACCAAAATCAAAACAAACCCACCAAAAAGAACTACAGGCAGCTATACTTGTCTCCACAGAGCAAGTCAGGTAATTCAGTCATTCTTGTTATATGAATATTTATCTGTGCATGTCACTAAGACCAAACCAGAATGTTTTTCCCAGGCATCAATAAAAGTAGTGAGATATTCTCAGTAAAATAACCTGTGTGACCAGTTCTGAACATCATCCATTACAATTTGCTTCCTTACAACTTGACATTCAGAAATCAAGTACTATTTTTCAGTTTCATATTGTGACTATGAAGCTGCTGAATGTTACACAATGTACCATTAACAGATGTCACTCACCGTCTGTGCATCAGAAAAGCTTGGAGCAAGCTTGGGTTGAAGTATTTTCTCTTGAGTTCCTTCCACCAGCTGGTGGCTGCTGTTACTGCCCCACACATACACCTCACAGGTCTCTGACACAATGGGAGCATCACCTGTCTGAATGCTGTCAGGGCTGGCACATGTCCTGGAATAGTCTGAGGCCATTCGACAAACCTGTTCACACCACAGATTTATTACACAGCAGCATTTCATATTTCTTCCTATACAGTCACAGTGTTTAATGCAGCTTTAATTGCCCCTCAACACAGTAACTGTCTAAAATACAAATCACCAGGCCTGTATCATGAGCTTGCCAACTAATTAGCTTAATGACTTTATCCCACTACATTTTATTTTTCAATGTTTTTTGCACCTCTTTGACCCCAGAATCACTACACCCACATGTGCACACCAATCTCATGTGTGAAGAGGAAGTAAACTACAGTAGCTTAGAAGTTTTTTTCAAGCCATACCTCTTCAAATAAACACAGAGCTGCCTCATACAGAGAACACAAGCCATCTGATGTTCTGGTTGGCTCTCTCCATTGACTTCGGTCAGCAGATGATCCCTACAATGTGTAAATGTTGTTATTAGGAGAAATATGCTTCCAATACAGCAACAGTCCACCTGAACAAAATACATCAGGAACTTGTTCTTATGGCTAAGCAAAAAAATCAACATATCTTTCTATAAAAGCATAAATACACTACCTCTCTCCTGAGCTGGGTTACCTGCACACACTTCAGGGAAACAGAACTGCCACAAGTGCCAGTCCCACATTCTCACTGATTCAGTTTCGGGAAGGTATCTGGGTTTGGAGTTAATTTCTCCCAATACTATTTTGTAATGAAATGCATGTTATTTGTGTCTAAAGTGATAATTATTTCTAAATTACTAATCATAAATAATTTTATGCTTACATATCTTTCATATTTTGGTCTCTAATTGTATATATAGCCCAAATCCAATAGCAAATAAAGTTGCCCATCAAAACATTTATTCCAATTCAGATACTGCTACTGCCATGCTCTTCTCATGGACCTCATTCTTCAAAATAGTTTTTAGATCTTTTTTAGAATCTCTTTTAGATTTTAAAGTTTATGTTTATTAACAAGCAGTACAAGCCTGAAAGGAAAGTATGAGCACTTGAGGAAAAGTCATTTCCAGTTTCAGTCTGAGCACCACAAGACAGGAGGCTGCCACAGCTTCTGACTGTGCACTGTGCAACAATTTCATACCTTGGAAAGCAATATTCATCTAGCACCAGCAGTGAGCACTCAATATACAAAGCAATGTGCCACACTTCCAATTTAGCTCATTTTTTATCACATTAATTTCTGAGCATCAGCAAAACTGCTGAACATCCTGAAGATGAATAAGCAGAGGCCTGGGTGAATGGGGGAGCAGAAATGTGCAATAAAAGTAACGAACAGGAAACAAGGTGTATTGCAGAACTTTGAATTTTCTAACTTTTTCTGCTATGAACTTAAATGTACAAGTCCAAGTGGATCAACTATGTTCTCAATTCTTTCCCTGAAGTTAGAAAATAACACCAAAATGCAACATAGAGACTGTTTTGCTGTTTCATCTTTACCTATGAGGGAACAGGTGGGCAGGAAGGAAGAGAAAGAGATGGTGGGTAACAAAGAAAACACGGTGGGGGGGATCACAAAGCCCCCTTTCTAATACATTCAGCAAACTGGCATTTGGGGTGGAGAAACTACTCGTTAAGAATGCAGCTACATTGGAATGGAGAAAATCCAAAGGTGGTTACACCTACCAGAGATCGTCGCATCTGGGTCAATATGCTCATAAAGCAATCAAAGCTGATCATCCCTTCTGGACTTTGCAGTAACTTGGTTTTCTCCATGGTGTTTACCACAGCTGAAGCACCTAAAGCCATTTCTATCCATTCAAGAAGGTATCTCAAGGCACCTCGTTGGGCAGCCAAACCAAGAAGCAACTCAGAAGCTAATCTACGACCTAGAGTATCTGCCCCAGAGTTTGGAATCGTTACTCCTTTAAGAAAAGTTGTTACTTGTGACAAACAGTCCAAACCCATAGGTGGAATCTTGCTTTCATTTGCTAGAGATAAAGGTGGTAAAGAGCTCACAACTTCTATTGCAGTATGGATAACATCATTGCAGAGGTTGAGGCCAGGTCCTGCCACAGGCATCATCCAGCTTTGTCTCAGCAGTGCAAATAACAAGCTCAGCCCAGTCCGAACTCCCATTTCTATCAGCGCGTCGGTGCTCGACCTGGGGCGCTCGCTGACAGAGTGCACGTCTGTGGAGCCAGAGCTGCTTTCTGGTGAGTGCTGCTGCTGCTTCACCTTCCCCTTGTCGTGGTACTTGTTAGAAAGTGCATAGAAGACTCGCTGCAGCACGAGGAGACGCTTTCGCAGAGCTCCAGCGAACGGAGAGTCTGAGCACACCATCTTTGCCAGTGCCAGCTGGCTGCTAAGAAGGGCATCCAAGTAGTGGTCCTGCTCATCACTAGATAGAGATTCCCGCTCAAAATCTGGTAACTGAGGTCCCTTGAGGCACAGAACCTGCTGGGGCAATGGCACTACTTCTTTATTGCTAACTAACTTAGCATACAAGACAGAGACTCCCTCCCTTGTTGCAATAGATTCACTGTCTTCTGTGATCCATGAGCTGTTTAGGTGTTCAAGCCACTTCAGCTTCACAGGTGGGACCATAGCTGCCATGCTGGTTTACTTCTTTGCCATTAGTCCTGAAAATGAAAAAAACTGTCAATTATGCAATATTATCTATAGATCTTATTACTGACAGCAGGACAAACCCAAATAATCCTTTCAGACTGACCACCAAGAATTACCAGTTCCACTGTTTCACCTATATGCATGTGCAATTTACTTAACACGATGTAAGAATTTCAGTGTAAGTCAGTCTGCATTTTCTAAATCCATACACACAAAAATTCATATAAAGCAAATTTAATTCTTCTAAGTGGCATGAACAGCATTTAACAGATAAGGCAATGTAAGATTTAGATGTCGAGAACCACAAAGGTGCAGGGCTGGTAAGCATATCTCAGCACTATGATTATTATGCCTGCAGGATCATCCATGTAATGGTATGATATTTTGCTATTTTATCTGAATAAAGGATCACAATTCCTAAAAACCTACACTGAGTTCGAAAAATTTCTCACATAGAAGAACACAGACTGATCACAAATAGTTGAGTCCAGGGTTCTTCTAAGTCTATGTCTGAGAAATTTTTAACAATTAACAAATTAAAAGAACATTCTGATCCCAAAGAGACACTCGAGTTACTAATTTTAGTGCCAGTAGCATTTAGAACTCCAGTTCTTCAAGAGGATTCTTGATGTCAACTCTACCTTCTGCCAAGGTAGCTCATAGCTTAATATGCAAAGATGCTTCCTCAAAGTGAGTGTTTTCAAACTGCTCCTTTTAAAAGAATTTTCTTTAAAGCCATGCTTTACCTCCTATTGTACAAACCAGATGTGTTTGACTCCTGTTTTATAATCATTAACCATGGGTTACATAGGTTCTGAATGATTACTTTCTGTTCTTTGACCCTGTAAATCCTAACACATTACAAATTCACCAAAAAGTACTACAATTTCCTAAAGGAGAGTTTTGTGTCCTTTGGTAGTGTGAGCCCTATTTGATCTAATTCCAAACTAAACTCCTGGGGGTGGAGGAACTCTCTGCCATGCAGTGAAAGTCAGTGCTGCTGCCATGTCGTGCTTGCAGGACAACGGCTAACAGGCAGTGCAATTTGGTACTTGTTTTATCTTGACATTTCACACCTAAAATCATCAATTAAAAACATAAACTACTACAGTTATTCTGCCAATACATCTGCCAAAAAAGCATGCTGTGTGCTATTAAGCACTTACTTTTATTTCAGCCCAATTTTCCCTACAAGAGATGAATACCTTCAGAAAAGCTTTCCATGAGCCCCAGGTACCTGCCCCTTACCCAGGCCTATCCCACCAACCTGCAGCCACTGCTGTTATGCACCACTCAGAGCAGGGAGCATCCCCTGCATTTCATACAAGACACACCTTCTGTCTACTCACACCACAAAACTTGCCAGCACTCAGCCTCCAAGTGACACAGACAGGTACTGTTACACCAGGACCCTGCTGAAGGAAGAAAGAGCAACACCATCTCATCTGTCACAAAGTATCTGCTAACTACCATTGGATCCTAACAGAAACTGCAAGGCCAATTAATGAAAATGTCCTAACTCTGGTCTTGTTTGTGCCTTATCAAGAGGTGAAACATAGGGATGTAGCTCCATTAAGAAGTTCTCAAACAGACTTATTCATGGCTTTATGCTTTCACCACCTACTCTTCTTTCAGAAACTTCAAAATGTGCTCATGTACCTCAAAGGTGCAGATACTGCTGCTTTTCCTGAAAACTGATAGATTTTTTCCCTCCTGCCCTTGTATGCATCTCTAAAAATAGAGACTGAAGCTCAAAGCTGAGCCCTTAGCAGTGCCCTACTCTCCTCCTGCAGCTTTCAGAAGAAATTGTTGGTCCACCTTGGAAATAACATTCAGTATCATGTGACAGGCAGAAGGCTTTAACCAGACACTGCTCATAATCCTGGAAATACTCTCTGAATACAAATGTAAAAGATCTCTCTCTCTGCATGTAACAACTACAGATCACTGAAGTTAAGCAGAAACCAGCTAACAGTTACACAGGGTACAGGCAGGTTTATTTCTTCCAGCTCATTGCCACAAATACAAGGTTTATAATTGCTCCAGAGCCTAGACATGAACATCTGAGCTCTTTTTAGGGCAGACAAAAAGAAAATACATTTGGCTGTGAAAACTCAAGTGAATGCTCACTGCTGTTTCCCTGTATTTGAGCACTGCAGGCCCAGGTGAACATGCAGAAGGCACCAAGTGTGCAGGGTGGGCCAGTCCCACACGCTGTCTGAACACGCTGATCACACAGCCAGGCACAAAGGGAGAAGCCAGAAACCTGTGACAAGGGGAGAAAAGTACTTTTCTCTTGTCATCATAAACCTGTAACAATCTAAATGTATAGCAACAGCTTTATAAAACTATTTCAACACTGGAACACTTCAAACACTTCAAACTAAAGTACCCAGAACTTTCTGGGATTTATATTAAACAAACAAACGAAACAAAACATCCACTTTATCTGCCTTTATTCCTCCCTTTCTCCTCCTGCTCCTCAGCAGGGGGGGGGGGGGAAAGAAGTGAACCGTGAGAATGTGCAACACAACTTATTTGTCATATCTTTCAGAACCACAGTTCCTGTTGAGGAAATCACCATTTTGGGGCAGTACATTTTTGCATATATTTTACAGCTGCCTATTGGTAAATCAACTAAAATGGGACTTAAAACACATAGCTGAACAAAGATTTCAACAGTGTTACCAAATGTAACAGCTATTTCAGAAGCTCCCTCCAGGCACCGGTGGGGGGGAATGCACACATCAAACCCTGACAGCCAAGCTCTGTGTGTATCCGGGATGGAGAATTCTTCCTCCGGAACAGCAGCGGCAGAACTGGAGCTGCACGGAGAGACTCGAAGGTAACCAAGCTGCCTCCAGTGTTCGCCCTGCCAACCACAGCCAGGGCTGCCATGGAACTCCGGGAAAGGCTCAGCTCATCAATGCCCTGCTGGAGTAAGTGCACAAGCGCAGGGAGAGCTGCTGGTACCCATCCCTGCACTGCACACCAGCTGCTCTCTGCTCTCTTCCTTCAAATGAAAGGGAATGTGAGGGAAAGAATTTTAAAGCAAAACCTGTGAAGACACGAGGAATATAATCAGAGAAGGCTTTTGCCTGAGCTAAGAGGAGAGCAGATCATTTAAATTATGGAAGAAAATATTCTTAAGCAAGGTCTCTTTTAATGTTCTAAGAAACATGAAAATTACCGGCAGCAGACAAAGGTTCTTTTTCCTTTTACCAGTCCATGGCTGTAAGTGCATCTGAAGGTGAACCTGTAAGTGCCAAAGCTGAGTCCCAGTGCAGACTGACTGTGTATCCCTGATTCTGTCCCTCCCAGCTCAGAAGTCAAAACCAGGTACTTCTGCTCTGTTCATGGTTTTCCCCATCACAAAAAAACCCACACCACACAGCCAAACTAGCACCCAAATTCTAAGCTCAGAATCAAGATTCCACATCTTGTCATAACTGGTAACCATAGACAGGAGGTAACTGGCTGCATTTCAAATTCAAAGAAATCAACTTACAAGCAGCCCTATGATTGTGAAACCATAATAATTCAGTGATTGGCATGCATTTCCACACAGCCAAGAACTCAGAAAGAAAGCTGATGACAAATTTCATTGCCCCTTTATCCACTTGTTTCTCATCATATATTTAGTTAGATGATGATTTTTAAGAAGTTTTTGATTAGATGTGTTTGCTGCACTTAAGGAAAAAGTAAACAAAAAATCAAGAGCCTGCAAATGTTTGTCAGCAAGACAGAGTATACACTAATAATAACTGATGCACTTAAGATTTTCCCTCTTGAGAAAAATAAGGAAAAAGAGGAAAGTTGTCATATTATAGGGAAAACATGCAGTCTTCAGTGGCCTAGTAAATAATGTTAAAGAATTTAAAATATGCTGTGTTATTAAAGAGTTTGTTTTTCCTTAAGTAGGAATCAATTCAGCCTGAAAGCACCAGCTAATTTTTACAGGTCACTTTAAGTATTAATTTTTGTGGTGGAAGCTTGCCTACAATAACTAACACATTACATGTATTGAAAGTGTGAATGGCCTATTGCAAGTCATTATTAAATACAATGGACAATTGGGCATATAAAAATTAAAAGTAAGTTTAAATCAATAACGAAATAGGCCAAACAGCCAATTCTTTCACTGAGAAAAACTGAATCTTTTTTAGGAAAAAGAACTATTCCCCTATCTCAAACAAGAATAAAGTAAGAGACTGGAGATGCATCTAACTACATTTACAAGTTATTTCCATGAAACAGAAATAAATTATCAGGAGATAAACTATGAATGCTGTTCCTTCTTTCTCTCTGCCACCACAGCCATTTAATCACAGAAAGAGAAAGAGGAATTTGATCTTGTCATTAATCCCAGCTTGCTCATTGCATATATACAATAGCAAGTCACTGACTGCATGGCTGACTCACACCTTAATGTACAACTGACCAGGAGACACAATGAAATAGGTATTCCACCACAAATATTTCTGTATTTTTATATTTATATATTTTTCTTTGTATTTATATTAGATACTAAAAATATCTGTTTCATGTACATGTGTCTGAAACACAGGTAATCTTTCTGCAACAATTATTTATTTTCAAAGGGGAATAATTCTTCCAAAGCATTTCAGTTAACATCAAAGTGAAATTATCAAGAAAATTCTGTATAATTTTTTTGTGTGTGTTTATATAAAGTGATATATGTGAGGTAAAATGGGACTGAGAAGTAACAGCAGATTTTCCAGCCACTTAGCACCATCTCCTAAATTAGCTATGGAAAGAGATTTCTCTAGAAAGGGAACAAAGGAGACACTAAATATTTCTCATAAATCCACTTGGTTGGCTCAGACTGTCAAACCTCTAAGAACAAACATTTTTTTCAGATTTTTACTACAGCTTCAGGAAACCAAGAAGTTTTTAGGTCTTGCCACTTTGAGGTAAGTGGGACAGCTTTGATCACTTTCAAATGCAAGAATAAGAACTCACAAGTGGGAAAAAACATTACTAAAGAAGT